CAGGTTTGGCTTAAGTAAATTTGTTTCTAAACACACTCAAGCAAATTAGATTTTTATGACTTTTAAGTAAAAAGTTACTTATTTATATAATTCTTGCTTCACTGTAAAAAAATAACTATCTTATATTCAACTCTGATCAATGAAAAAATATTTATTTTGAAATATACTTATTTACTCATGAGAAACCCTACCAAACATACTGGACATAGAATTAAACTCTGCCCAATCCATCTCATTCGAAAATACTTGGTTTAAGAGTGAAGAAACCATCTTCCAAGGGATGGGATTCTTTGTTGGAAATCTGTCTAAAACACGAAAAAGATTGGTTAAGAATTGAAAACCAAACATTGGAAAGTGTGACTTCATGTCAACCTCGGGCAAAACATAATCCGTTTATTTGTTCTTTGCCGTTTCGAAATGGGGTTCTCAGGGGCAAAGCCCTGGAAAGAACGGGGGATCGACCTATCGGTCAAGTCACAGAGGTCGAGGGGGGCAACGCCCCCGAAAGAGAACACTATCGCTCGAGCGATAGTATAGCTCGCTCAAGCGTCCGACGGGCTCACTGAAAGTGTCGTCGAGCGACGTAGCGAGCGGACAGCAGGCGAAAATCTGAGATAGTTGATTGTAGCGAGCGGACAGCACACAAGAAGATAGTTGTTGTATTTTGGAAGTTGATTGTCATAAACCGTAGACACCGTTGCTAAGCAAATTCGACTTAAGGACAAAGTGTTCAACACTTGCCTCGACTTTGATATTATTGCTGTTATATTACACATTTTTGAGGATTTATTTGGAGTCCATTTCCTACTGTTACTATGCCGAAATTTCTACAGAATTTTAAAGGTAATTTGAAGAATTTCCCGGCTATTTGTCACTCCATGCATGAGATTTTCCAACATTCTTTAACTCCTATTTGGTTTAGATTAAAATATATTAGAAATATGCTATGCTTATAGTTTTTTTCACAGAATTGTTTCATAGATAACACATGCCAAAACATCATTGAAAAATGAGAATAAAAAAGAAAAAATAGACGGACAGGATGCTGCAAGGAAATCAGTAAACCTATGAAACTTTTTTTGTATTTGGGGAATGATCCAATCTACTAAACATTTCAACTCAAAGTCAACAATTAATTTAAACGATACATTTTATAGGATCTATAACTTTTCTACCCCACATTTCATTAACTTTAATCAAAATCTACTAAAAATCCATTTTTTAATCTACGCCAAAATAGGGGCTTATACGGATTCCGTAAAGCTTTTGGAATCTAGAACAAAAATATGGTGGCCTTCAGAATGTCACGAATAAAGTTTCTTATGGAATGAACATTCATCTCATCGTCTCTATATTTGATTCTCAATCTAGTGCAAGTAATATAAAGCAGCACTTAGAGAATTCATGTTGTTATATACAAAGTTTTATGCTAGTTGTCAACCTCTTGTTACCCTATTTCTTTGATCGTACTGGTAAAAATGCTTAGTTTGTACTGCTGACATAATGAAAACGAAACCACATATGGGATATCAGGCGAGATTTTTCGTAATGTTTCTCGAATTTGAGCCCCATTCCATGGCTTCTGCAACTGCTCTCTTTCGTTCATCTGCTGTAATTTCGTTCGTCCGAGGAGAGGGACATGGAGAAGGAGAGGGAGATGAAACAGCCGAAGCCAATCCTGTTTCAGGTCCAGTAAGGTAACTAAGTGCAGTAACAACATCTCTCATTAAAGGCCGGATCGATGCATCATCTTGAAGACACATGGCTGCAACAGCAACTGCTTGATTGAAACTTTTCTTCGGAAAATCATCTTTTAGCAGTGGATCAAGCAGTTCTGAGAACTTACTCGGTTCCTTGAATATCGGTTCTGCCTGTAACATAAAGTATTGTCTTAGTATTATAGTACTAGGAACTCAAGTTCAAACAACAAATGTAATAAATTACCTTAACCTGTGTATGATGTCTATGTTTGCGAAGAAAAACCGAAAAGAAAAGAGGATTTAACTTACCCAAGTCACTAGATTTTGCTGTTCATGTCTTCGTGTAGTATCAACTGCTCTTCTTCCTGTGATTAGCTCCAGTAATACAACACCAAAACTATAAACATCTGATTTCACAGTTAATTGACCGGTTCTTTGGTACTCCGGGGCACAATAGCCATATGTTCCCATCACCCTTGAAGATACATGTGAATTATCCCCGATTGGTCCTAGCTTGGCTAGTCCAAAATCGGAAAGTTTTGCATTAAACTCCTCGTCCAACAAGATGTTCGAGGATTTTAAATCACGGTAAATGACAGGTGGGTTGGCCTTATCGTGCAAATATTCTAGACCTTTCGCAGCATGTAATGCTATTTTTATCCTTGTGAACCAAGATAATGGTGGTTGATTTGGGGAAAGATCTGAGAAAAAAGTAACCAAATATCTCAGTCGAATAATCCATTTCCACATGCCGTTAACCCAATTTATTCAATGTTCAAGTCTCGAAGTACAATAATATATATATAGTACCTAGTAGATGATCTTCCAAGGATCCCAATGTCATGTACTCGTATACTAGAAGTCGTTGTTCTCCATCAGCACAATATCCTATCAGATTTACCAAATGCTGGTGGTGTAAAAGGCTCAGCATCAAAACCTCCACAAGAAATTCTTGGTTTCCTTGTAGTCCATTACGATCAAGTTGCTTCACGGCTACAATCTGAATTAATCGACCTATTATCAGCTAGTTTAAAGAAATTAAATGAAATATGCCAAATTCATTTGTTGAATTTATGTAAGACTACCTGTCCTGTTTTATCTAGGTGACCTTTATAAACTCGTCCGAATCCACCTTCTCCAATGAGACATTCTTGTCTGAAATTCTTCGTTGCTGTAGCCAGCTCCCGGAAGGTGAAAGTTTGGGCTGCAATGTTGTTGTTGCCTCCTCCTTTTTCAGTAGCCTTATTTTTTGTAGCTTCTGTTTGTTTCTTTCTAGGCTTTTCTGCATGAGAAGAAATATATATAATCCTTAGATTTATCTAAACAACAAGCAATTTGATTACAATACTTAGCCTAATTTCATCAAGTGCAGCCATTATCATTACGTGAGCAAGTGTCGGGAGCACCTCGTCTAAAAATTTAAGTTGATAAAAAGGAACAAACAAATTTTATTGAATATTTTTGTCTTTTATTGGCCCTTTATGTGCAAGCCAGCCTCATTTTTAGATCAAATGTGTGACATGTGCATAATTTTCATAAATACGTGCAGTTGATACTTGAATTCAGGATTTCTGTTGAACCATCTCATCTAAAAATTTAAGCAGAAAGAAACTTATTAATTTATATTTTGCAACATGTCACTTCATGTGCTAAGATTCTCTAATAAATATTTCAATTCTGCCTTTTTGTAGGGGAAAAAGATTATGAGCAATATGATTATTATCTGTAAAATATTAAAAAATATATTTCAGCTTTAAAATATTCTTACCAAGCTGCAGTTGGGAATGTTGTTGGGATTGTGATTGTCGTGGCTGCGGCCGTGGCCGTGGCTGAGGCGGCAGCTCTCTATGCTGTTGGGCGGCAGGCGGTGGCCGTCTATTTCTGCTACTTTTATTCTTGGATAATTTCTTTACACGAGATGAAAAACATGAAAAACAACTCATTTGCAATCTTCACCAACAAATGTTCCAATCGATTTCAAAATTTTCTATCCAAAAGGCCTATGAAATTTTTATTTTTCAAAATGTTTTTCAATCAATCAAAAGAACACCAAATCCTCTAAACCAGAATTAGAAAAATCAGATTCAGGAACAAGAATCTAACGAAGGATCGAAAAGAACAAGATATGTTGAAGATGAAGGGTGAGTATATGAGGACGTTAAGGTGATCTAAAACAATAAAATCTTTCGACTCATCATAAAATTAACATTTCAACAAATCCATGTAGGGAAAAGAATAAATATTTTGTTTTTGTTTACGAAATTTCCGTAGAAAATGGAGAGATGGAGGAGGAGAGAATTTGAAGGGATGTGTGATATTATGAGAGAAAAATGTGGGAACCAATTTGGCCATTTGCACCATTG